TGTCCATTCTGAACAGCCATTGGTGAAATTTCTTCTATAAAAAAAAATCTCGGTCACCCATAAACGCAGATGCCCCTGATCAGGTTGGGCTTCCAGCTTAACGAAATTTGGAAACTCGTAGTTCTCTACGATTTTAACAATTCCATGCCATTTAAAATCACACCACCGAACATCTTGCAACTTACGAACGCTAACCTTTCATAAAAAGAAAAAAAAAAAACATGGAGATATTCCGTGTCAGAATATCGATTCTTTGAATTTATATAATGAAAATCGTTTATTATAAAAACGTGCAAACTGTTGCTTCAAACGGATAACTTGGATCAATTTATTTCAAACGTAATATAACCCATTAAAATTTAAATTAAATAACCCGGATGATTCCATAGCTATATAACGATGGTATGAAATTTTCTGGAAAAAAAAAAAATCACCCATGCAGAAAAGACATTAATCAGTTATTTCGACTTTTTGTTTAACGTACGGGAACCGTTTTTTCAACGTGATCATGGTCGTCTTTTCTGTTTATTCTAAGATTTTTTAATATTTAACCATCCCATTTTGATTCTTGTCCATTCCATAAACAGTTTACATCTTTTAGTACCTTGAATATGTCCTATGAGAGTTAAAAAAATGTCCGTCTCTCTCTCTCTCTCTCTTATCGATAAAATGAAATATTTTTCGTCCTTCTATAAAAAAAAATCTCACATTCACAGTTGCCTCCATTAAAAAAAAAACAAAGATTGCAAAGTTAAGAAGAAAATTGGGCTCCGTCCATTACAGCTTCAAACGAAATTTAGAATTCTGACTTTCTTCTAAAATTATGTAGTTCATATTAGCCCAGTTTATTTTAAATCTTGCAGACTATGAAGATCCAGGCAAAAAATTTGAAATTTACCAGAACTAAAAGATCATTACAAGATTAGCCTATAAACGATAACTTTTTTCACAGAAAAAAAAAAAAAACATGGAAATATTCATAGTATCAGAATATCAAATTCTTTGAATTTATATAATGAAAATCGATTTTATTATAAAATATCCCAAACTGTTGCATCAAACGGATCAAACAGCTTTTTTTTTTTTACTTTTTTTTATTTCAAACGTAATATAACCTCATTAAAATTAAAATAAAATAAAAAAACGGATTATTCCATAGCTATATAACGATGGTATGAAATTTTCTGGAAAAAAAAAAATTACCCTGCAGAAAAATTTGCATTAATCAGTTATTTAAAAGTCTTTTTGTTTCATGTATAAACTTTTTTTCAGGACGTGAGCGATCATGGCTCTGGAACTCATGACGTCTGGGAACCTCTTTGCAGTTTATGCTCTGAAAGTATTTTTTTTTAATATTGCCGGAACCATCCAACTCTTTTGACCGGTTTTGTTCTATCCATTCCCATAAACAGTTTATCTCTGATTCACTTACCTTGAATATGTCCTAGCACTGGTTAAAGACTCGAACCACATAAGGAATTAATATCCGAGAAATTTGAACTCTCTCTCGAACTCTCTCTCTCTCTCTCTCTCTCGATTTCTCTCTAGGAATAAATTGAGGAAAAAGATTTCTTCAAAATTAATGTATTTTTAGCGTCCCCGGTATAACCAATTCTCTGACGATGATGGAATTCTTTGAAAATCTTTCTCATTAAAAAAAACAAACAATAAAGATCGTTTGCAAAGTTATGAAGAAAGGATTATCATAATATTTTACCATAAAAATGTACTGAAAAATCATTGGAAATATGATAGTTACTAAACTCGGTCTGTAAAATTATGGCGTTAAATTTATTTGGCAATATTTTGGAACAGAGTCTTGATTTTCTATAAAATGAAAAATCCAGAATAAACTGGATTTGAAATTAACTAGGAATGCAAATAGGGCTAATTACTGAAGAGAAGAGAGTTATTTTACTGTAGGGATGATTTAAATGTATCCCGCCGATAACCTTTTTTTTACTACAGATATGCATTGTAAATTATTGTAACGTAGGAAATAATTTTAGTATACATTTGAAATTGCAAATGATTTTACTGATCGGCAAAAAAAGGTGACAGAAAAATATATTTTAATTTTATTTTTTATATCCATTGACCCGTAGGACATAGGGATAATTCACGACGTTTTTTTGTTTTTTTTTTTAAGCATTTCACCCCTTCAGGTGGGAAACCACTAAAGAGCGTCTCTTCTACTCTGATAGGGGTGTCTCAGAAAATTTATGTGGAACTCCCTTCCCTTTTCAGATAGGAGCTATAATCTCCAGATTCAAGTGGTCAATGACATCTCCAGTTGGATAGATTAAGGCTCCTGGAGATGTTGATTGACATTGACACTCCAAATAGCTGTAACCCCTTGAGTTATACACTTTATGTAACCCCTTGCGTCTAACCGAACACTTTATTTTGCGTCTAACCGAACACTTTATTTTGGACTAAATAAAGGGTTCGGTTTGAAATTCCAGCTGGCAATAAAGATGAGAACAACAGTCCAAACAATGTAAATAGTGCAAATAGTTCCAATGCCTCATTTCAGAAATATAGACAGATATTTTAATTCTAATTAATTTTCTTATTCTTATATTATTCATTTTATCGGGTCTTTATTCCTCTGACCTTGACATGTTTCCCGTTTTAGTTTCGCAAGTTTGCCATCAACTATCGAACTAATGAGTAATTAATCATTTCTCTCGACGATTCTTTTTTTTATTTTCCTTTCTCTTTTTTCTTCCTTATTTTCTTTATGCCTTTTTTTTTTGGGGGGGGGTGCTTTATTTATTCCGTCTTTCTTCCCTTTGCTTTCTCTTATCCTTCAATACGATCATTATTAATTACTTTATGAACCCCAATTCCTATTTTCTTTATTTCTTTCAATTAATAACTTTCTTCTTGCATATTTATTTATTTAATTTTTTTTCCGTTCTTATCCATTGCTGTCACGATTACTATTATATTTTTCTTTCGTTGTCTAATTCTTTTTCCCTGTTTGTAATTTCTTTTTACAGATTTTTTTTTCTTTTTAATGTTCTTCATTTCTTCTTTCCTTTCCTATGAGTTTTCTTTCCCATCATTCAAGTCCAGTCTTTTTCACTTTTTTTCTATTTTCTTGTTTGCTCCTTTTGTTTTCATTCCCTATTTTTTGTAGTTTTCATTCATTTATTGGTTTTACTTTTCTTTTTTCTTTTCGTGTTGTTCTTATTTTTACTTCATTGATTTTTTTTTCATTCATCTTTTCTACATTATTTCATTACTTTCCTATGCCTATATTATATCTATCTATCTATCTATCTATCTATGTTCATTATTTATCTATCTATGTTCATTATCTATCTATCTCATTTCATTATCTATCTATGTATCTATGTATCTATCTATTTATGTTCATTATCTATCTCTTTTCATTATCTATCTATCTATCTCTGACCATTATCTATCTATCTATCTATCTATCTATCTATCTATCTATCTATCTCTGACCATTATCTATCTATCTATCTATCTATCTATCTATCTATCTATCTATCTATCTATCTACCTATCTATCTATCTATCTATCTATCTATCTATCTATCTATCTATCTATCTATCTATCTATCTCTGACCATTATCTATCTATCTATCTCTTCATTATCTATCTATCTATCTATCTATCTGTCTGTCTGTCTGTCTATCTCTTTTCATTATCTATCTATCTATCTATCTATCTATCTATCTATTTCTTTTCATTATCTATCTATCTATCTATCTATGTTCATTATGCATGTATGTATCTATCTATCGATCGATCGATCAGTCTCTCTATCGATTTATACCTGTTCACTATTTATTTATCTATCTCTCTTTATGACTAGAGATCTCTGCTGAGATTCATCTATTTTTATCTACCTGTCTTTTATCGTGTTCATTTTCTCAGAAATTCCTCAGTAAACCGACTCTAATTTGTGACAGCCTCAACAGACATCCTTGTTAATCTCTTACTGATTGGCTCAAAATTCGAGGATAAAAAATGCAGTTTTTAAATAGTAGAGGCGTTCGTTGAAAGCCAAACGATTGGCTAGAAAGAGAGTTGACTGACGCTGTTTGGCGTGTAGGTGGGATAGGGGAAAATTGGATATTTTATGAATAGAAGACGGAGAAAGAAAAAAAACAAAATAAGAAGGTTACGTTGGACGAATGAATGAAAAGACCGTGGATAAACAGAAAGAAAATATCAAGAGAAATATCAAGAGAAAGAGAGGAACATGAAAAAAAAATAGAAGAAGAAGTAGCATCCATTGTGTATGCTTTACAAATAATAATAATTACAAGAAGAATAATAAAAGAATTATGGATATAAAGTCGACAAAAATCGCCACAAACCAGAGAATGTAATAAAAAATACGTAAATCAAGATATTCTCGGAATTTAACATCTAAAGAGATCTCTTGAGGCTGAGATTCACCGTTTTGAGAGGAAGAAGAAAACACAAAACAAACAAACAATGTTCTCTTACGTTTTCTCTGACCATCCAAAAAACCTGTCCATACGCCGATCCCCCTTTTGATGGAATGTGGACGTTGCATTTTAGCGTTACATCAGAAAAACAAAATTCCTCTAGCACTATAAATATTAAATAGACTATAGCTCTGGAAATCCCATAATGCAAAATCTGGTAAAAACGAAAAGGAAGTCAATAATAATAATAATAATAATAATAATAGAAATGACCGTAAGTTCTATGCTAGCCGTTTCCTCTCGAACTTCTTGCTTGTGGAACTATCTTCTGGTTTCTTGCTTGCTAGTCAACTTTGATCTTCAAAAATTTAAATGCAATGATTTTTCTTGTATTCTTTCACATTCATTAACCCCTTGTGTCTTAGTGGCTTAGTTTTTTTTAGTTTGTGTTAAAAATGATTTATTGTGATTTCTCCCTAATAATGTATTGCCATTCTCTTCCACTCTCTTTAACCCTTACATTTTACTGGCTTTATATCTTTGAAATGAATAAAAAATTGCCAAAATTAAACGAAGAAGAAGAAAAAGGTTGACTGATCCGTTTTTTGATGACGCAAAAGGCTCTGTGGGAAAGGAAGGGAGAAAACATCATGCTGAAATGTGGATGTGGTGCTCTCTTCTGGTTTCTTGAATAGTCAACGGAGAAAAAAAAACAAAAATAAGTTTAGTTTTTACGTTGGCTTAAAGAATGAATTAAAAAAATTACCGTGGATAAATAGAAAGAAAATCATAATCATAATAATAATAATCAAATAATAAGAATAATTTATGAAATGCATAAGACACTCAATAAATCTCAATGAAGAATATATGCATCCAACAATAGTATGCAACAAATAAACTGAACATCAAAGTAAAAAAATAATAAAAGAATTATGGAAAATATAAAGTCGAAATTGTGAATTATCAACTCGATGTAAAGAAAAAAACGTAAATCAAGAAATACAATATCAGGATTTAAAATCTAAACAGACGGCGTCCTTGAGGATCCATCAAACAGAACAAGATCTTTCAAACCGTCGAAATTTTACAGGGAAAGAGGAAGAAGAAAATGGAAGACATTATACAGTTCTGGGAAAAAAAACAAACAAACAATGAGTTAGAAAATGCCTAAACCAGAACAGTGGCTGTTGCTGGTGACCATAATGTCAGAAAAAGCACACAACAAAATCAGGAATAGATAAAACTAAGCTTAATTTAAATACAGCACACAAAAAAATCATAAAGAACTTCAAGTTGATCCAACTAAAATTGTTGGATGGATTCAGTTACCTTTCTTCTACCCAAAAATATTTTCCTCGTTAAATTACTGTGGCATTAGAATTAAATATTTTAACAAAACAGAAACTTAAAGAAATGACACTACCACTTGAACAAAACCGAGGCTGAAAACAATCCAATAGGATGATCCATCGCGTGGAAAAAAAATCTTAGTATTGCCTGGAAGTCGTAAAGCATTCGATAGTTTCTCATTCCTGGATCTTAAAGTCTTTAAATATTGTGCGAATAGTTAGCATCAATTTCATCAAACAATGTATGTCTGATGGAAACTACACTTTACCTCAATCAAAAAATGGAAAAACGAAATAAACATCAATAGAGGAATATTTCAATACTCTTTGTCTCCTTTATTAATAACTAATAATTAACCAACCAACTTAACAAGACAGAATGCGGTTACAAAAAAAGCTCAAAAGAAAATAAACCATCTATTTTACATGGATGACTTAAAATTGTATGCTAGGAATGACAATGAGCTGGAACTTCGTAAGTTCTTATGAAGCCGAATTTCCTTTGGATAAATGTGCTAAAGCTACAGTTTTACGAGGCTTGTGGAACAAACTCTTATTGGTTTAGACCTTGCTTAACTAATAAAGATTTCAACTTTGATCTTAAGAAAATGAAAAAATTTAAATGCAATGATTTTTCTTGTATTCTTTCAGAACATTCATTAACCTTGCGTCTTAGTTTGGCTTCAGACAAATGGATTCTAAAACAAGAAAGCTTTTTTTTAGCATCATTGGGTTAGAAAATGAAAAAAATGATTTATTGCTAGATTTCTCCTTAACAAATGTATTGGCTTACTAACTTACCAATTCTAAAATTTCAACATGAAAACAGAAAAAAAAAATTTAACCCTTACAGTAATTTACAAACAACATTTACATTTAGTATCTTTGAAATGAATAAAAAAGATTGCAAAAAAAAAAAAAAAATAAAACGAAGAAAGACGCTGGCAAGACTCTGCAATATCCAGAACGTGGTTAAACCCATGTTGTTTTACTCACGATGGTTCACAGATTAAAATGAAACTGAAGGTTTTATTCTTGCAGGCAAACAGTCTTTTCTAGGAATTTTCAGGCAAATAAATAATAATGTGGATCCAAAAGGAGGACAAATACCAAGAAACAATAGACCACATCATGCTGAAATGAATATAAAAATCGTCACGATTTGGGACCAATACTTACACTGGTGCAAACTCTTTGGAAAAATTGGCAAACTGGTATTCGGCCAGCGCCGGTTACAGAAATAGAAGATGTCACCATTCTGTAGGATTATACCATCCACACAGACAGAAAAAATTTGCAAATAGGCCGGACATTATTGTCAAAACCAAAAGAAAAAATTTTACAATAATTTTCCTCGGATTTCTCTCAACAAGGAATTTCATTAACCAAAATACAACGTCTTAGTGGTTTAGAATTTTAATAGCTTGGGTTAAAAAATGGAATTGGAAACCCCAGCTTAAGAGACAAAAAAATTGTCTTAAAAATACAAATAATAATAATAATAATAATAATAATAATGAAAGAAGAAGAAGAAGAAGAAGAAGAACAACAACAACAACAACAACAACAACAATAACAACAACAACAACAACAAGAGCAAAACAACTTCTTAAAAGTTGAGAAATCATGCTTCAGAAATACAAGGAAAATACGAAAAACAGTGGATCAAAATCAATTGATCAAAGGATTAAATGTTCAGAAATGTTCTTTTGGGAGATATTCAGAGCCTTTCTTAAACTGGACAAGAATTAAGGAAGTTGGATGTGAAGACAAGGAAATTGATAACAGTACAAAAATGACGTTGATATTCGAAAGGAAGACGAGCTCATTAATGAACCTGTAGTCAACATTTGTTGCAATGGTCTCTTCTGAGACTGAATAACAGAAGTTAGCCAGAAAGTGAACGTAAATACACAAAGCTCTGCACGTCATTCTACTCTAAATACACAAAACAAACAGGCTCCATGTAAAGGGAAAGGAAGGAGGCAGAAGATACATCAACTTCAAGAATGTTATCCAAAGGGTCCAAATTAGACTTGCACAAAATGCACAAAAGAACAATGAAAGAATCTTGAAAACTGCACTTGAGAAAAGCACGACAACCGAGAGAATAGTTAGAAATGCATAGCAAAAGTAATCGAAAAGATATGTCAATATATATATATATATATATATATATATATATATATATATATATATATATATAAAATACAGGGTGCAGTAAAATTAACCTCGATATTTATTCATTAACTTTTATTGAAGAAAACTAAATTACAGTTCAAATACAAAAATTTAAATATCCTGGAAATTTTCTAACAAACGGCGGAAAATTTGAAGACGTACTGGGATGGCCAAAAATGCATTCCAAAAGCTAAGCAAAGCATCAAGAGACAAAATAATTTCGTTAGAAACAAAGAAAACAGTATTGAACTGTTAAGTGATATCATTACTTCTGTATGGCAGCGAATGCTGAAAAATCACCTCAGTGATGAAGACAAGAGTTGAAGCAACAGAAATGTAGTTCTACAGAAAGATGCTGAGGATACCATAGACCGAACATGTCAGCAATGACGACGTTTTAGACAAAATGGATACAAAAAGGAAACTCTCATGAAGTTTCTGTGCAATGTAATGAGGAAAGAGTGCTTGGAAAATCTGATACTCACGGGACTGATTGGGGGAAAAGAGGCACAGAAGAAAGCAGTGAGAAATATATGCTACAAAAGGTTTGGGAGAAATAACAAAAAGCTAGGGACAGGAAGATGTGGAGGCTCATGGTCGCCTAAATCCTTATGGGACACGGCACATAAGAGAAGAAGAAGATTAACTATGGCTTACGTGTTCGGCAATGATAAAATCTTAATTTCGAGCTGGGGATGATTGTCACTTTCATAGGTGGCTTCCATTTATTTTAAACGAATTAAAACTATTTACATTGTTGACATTGTTCGGACTGTTGTCCTCATCTTCATTGCCATATTCACTCTTTTTCGGCCATTGTATGCTTCGGCCTTCTTCAGGTGATTAGAATTTTGAACTGAACCCTTTATTTCGTCCACCCACTTATATTGTTCTAGTCCCACGTGCTATGCCTCTTCCGGATGTCTCAGTTAACTCCCAACTTTCCAAGTTTTCGTTCACCGCCAGGTATGGAACTCAAGAACTCTTTGGGCAAAGTCACTGAATCCAACCAACGATTTTATTCACTAAGCCATGTGTCCTTGAAGAACGAAATAAAGGGTTTAGCTAAAAATTCCAATCTGAAGAAGGCTGGAGCATACAACGGCCGAAACGTTGTGATTGTGCCAAAACAGATGAGGACAACAGTGCGAACAATGTAACTTGTTGCGGCCTGTTTAGAGGCCAGAAAGAAAGACACAGAAGACGAAGGTAGGTTGAAGAAGTGTATTGAAATAACAGATATATACAAAGCAAGAGTGTTAGTAATAAGCAGATAGAGGTGGATGTCCGAACGGTAGGCTAACACTGCGTCTCCGCTGCCCTACGACTCTATATTTAACAGCCCCCCCCCGAGAAATGTATGTGGCACAAGGCCGAGTTTACCGTGGGTTTCTCCGAGCCCGTAGGCTCGGCCAAAAAGATCCCCTTTGAACCCGCATAAGCGGGTTCGGAAACTGTCTACCTCCCCGGACGAAACTTTGCCCTTCGGCAAAGCCTCGTCCGGGTTACTCTCTGTTCGAGATAGAGAGTTCGACAGACGTCGAACACAGTCAGAGACAGTATCTCGACGTATCTCAGTATTTAATTTTCCACCCACGAGGAATGTATGTAGCACAAGGCCGAGTTTAAAGTGGGTTTCTCCGAGCCCGTAGGCTCGGCCAAAAATATCCCCTTTGAACCCGCATAAGCGGGTTCGGAAACTGTCTACCTCCCTGGACGAACCTTTGCCCTTCGGCAAAACTTAGTCCGGCTTCCTCTCTGCCAAAGCAGAGAGTTCGACAGAAGTCACACACAGTCAGAGACTGCTCTACGACTCTCCGCTAGGAAGTCTCACAGTTAGTATTTATGAGAGGAAGAAGAGTTCATTCTACTGGAGGAGGGTTTACAACAACATAAATAAAGTAAATAATTACAATACCTCATCTCAGAAATATAGACAGGAATTAAAACTACTGAACCGTATTATGTGATTCGCTACTGAAACAGAGCGCTTATACTCTTATTAAACAGGATGATGGGCGGTGAAACGTTGATACTTTTTAACAATGTGAAAAGCAAGAATTCATAAGGTAACAGGACTGAACCGAAAAGGCGATACACTATATATAGTTAGATTGGTTATGAGTCCTTATTTTAAATTTCTTCTTGAAAACAAAACAACTGATTCCAACAAGTAATATTCCCACGCAGGATATTCGAAAGTTGCAATCACTATTAATGTCCCACAAAAAAAAAAAAAAAAAAAATTCTACGATTTTTGGTGAGCAAGCAAGAATTATTATTAGAGATTGCTTGAGACTTCTTCACATATCCATCGTATTAAAAGATATTGAATTCTGGAATTACCATTTATTCGAACACTCGCAAAAAATCTTAACTCTCTGAAATACTGAACAAAGCAGCTAAATTATTTGTTTCTTAGAAAGTTAGGAAGAAAGAAATTCTAGGAGGTTAAAATAATGAAGTTGTTGAAAATAAAGACAACGGCAAATATATTATCTATATATATAAAACAGAGGATGTCTGTGCGTGTGTCTGTCTCTCTGTGTGATACCTTTTCACTCGAGATCCATTCAACCGACTTTGACCAAACTTGGCACATAACATTGTACTATGTAAGAGATAGGCTCTTAGCGTAAAAATCAATATTCTTCTAAAAATCAATAATCAATAAATCCGATCAAAAATCGATAAATCCAGCTTTTTTCCTCTGATTTTGTTTAAACTCGTTATGTAGGTTACTTACATCACGACGAGCTCAACGATCTCTCATTTTTATGTCCACGCCACTGCGTTTAGCAAAAAAAACGCGAAAAACGAAAAATCGATTTCAACACAGATTTTAAACTAAAAACTCCCTCAATTTTCAAGCAATCTAATACAGACTTCACTCAACTGTAGCCAACAACAAGTTAATTGTTTAACAGTCATTTAACTTGATAATTGAGTTCGCCCATAGAGTGAACACTCGCGTAAATAGCGAACAATGGCGATTTTTACTGGTTTATTTGTTTATTTTTCGTTGATCTTTCAACCAATTTTCATCAAAGTTAACAACTGCTTTATAAATATATCACTTTTACATCCCTGGTAGCACACTGACAACTTGAACTTAAAAAACTTCAAAATAATTGTAGTCTAAAGTTGGTCTTCATGTTGCATGTTTTACCCCTTCATGTCCTCGGCGATTGAATTAATTCAGACTATTTCTTTTATATCAGTGACTATATTAATTCAAAATGTTTTTGTAATGAAAGTACTTTAAAGCCATTGAATAAGACAAACTGTTACATCTAAACATGATGCTGTTTTTGCACAATGCTTTTTCAGATCGACCAGCTGCGTATGGCTGCTAGTTGAATGATTTTTTTTAAAAAATGCCATTCACATTTTTTTTTTTTTTATACCTGAACCGTTTGTGTTAAATAGATAAATATGAAGTGACTGGCATAAATAGTTATATGATGGCGCTCAGTTCAGTAGACAAGACCATTGATGATCTATAATAACCGTGTTTATAGTTGTGCATCACAACGACTCATCCTAAGAATTAACAGTGAGGCAGATGTTTTCTCTCTCCTTGACCAGTGGTCTGCAAAAGCTGAAGAGCCCAGTTCGCCTTTAACCCAAACCTGGTGGGAAAAAGAAAACATGAATTCATCACTTTCTAAAACAAAACTGCGCGTAAGTGAATGCATGAACACGACGGGAATTTGAACTCGGCTCTCCGATTTCAAAGTCTAATCTACTATCCACTACGCCAACCGAGAAAGAGATAGATAGATAGATAGATAGATAGATAGATCGATAGATGAATATGAACACACTGCTATAGATAGATAGATAGATAGATAGATAGATAGATAGATAGATAGATAGATAATGAACATACTGCGATAGATAGATAGATAGATAGATAGATAGATAGATAGATGCGATAGATAGATAGATGATAATAGATAGATAGATAGATAGATATGAACATATTAGATAGATAGATAGATGAATATGAACATACTGCGATAGATATATATATATATATATATATATATATATATATATATATAGATAGATAGATAGATATATAGATAGATAGATATGAATAGATGCGATGATAGATAGATAGATAGATAGATAGATAGATAGATAGATGAATGATATGAACATTCTGCGATAGATAGATAGATAGATAGATAGATAGATAGATAGATAGATACTCATATTTGTTGATTAGATTCATTCGCGTGCTCGCCCGAGATTTCTTTTATGGAGAGTGGGTGTAGCGAGAAATCTTCTTTCCTGTAAATGCCAGAGATCTCGTGTGCGTTTTCGTGAACAAAAAATGCACATATATTTTAATCTATTTATTTTAATTTATTTATTTATCTATTTATTCTTAGGGAACCTTACGAAGAAAGGGCTGCATAAAAATACAGAAATTAACATCCGGGTGTTTCAAACTGGAAGAGCGGAAATTCAGCGTATGCTCACGCATGCGCAAAGTGCACGTTGTCTCCTACCATGACGTGCACA